ACCACTCCAGTATCTTTGCCAAGAAAACCCCAAATATGGTCATGAAAAGTTAGACACAATTGAACAGCAACTTTGCTTTCTAATTTGGAACCTGAGTTTCTCAATGTCAGAGGTTGCTCCCTCATACCCTCACCCCCAAGGAACCAATAGTATTCTCCTTTGGTATGGACACCAAAGCTATCGCCCTCATAGATATATAACATGATCAGCTTATATGCTCATCCTACCACCACCTTCTCTACTAATTGGGCATAGACAATTGGGATTCTTCAGAACTCCTGCAAAGAGGCTGTGACTTAAGGATCAGCTTGTCTTCCCCCATTTTAAAGATGGAGAAACAAAGGGCAATTTGACATGAAGACTGAGCAAAATAAGTTATCCTCAAACTAGAAGTAACTGAGGCTTTTGATCCTCCCACACTCCCTATGAAGTCCAGGATGCCAACACTAAATCTCAGAGGTTCTAAGAGCCTGAAGTTCTTACTTTTTCTTTTTATTTCCTATAAAAGTTCCTTAATTTCTTCTAAGCATATATCTTTCTAACACAAATATTACCTGGTAATTCTATATAGATGGGAATCATGGAACACAATTATCTCAGAGGAAGCATGGTTGGAGGTGACATAGAGTGCAATGGAAAGATCCGTGGAAGCAAGAAGTTATCATCAATGATTTCAAAGAAAAGTGGGTCTGAAGGACCTCATCAAGGACTAGTATAACTGAAAAAGGAGATACACTGACCATAAAACAAAAGCAATCAATCAGCAATCAGCAAGCACTTATAAAATGCCTAGTATGATCCATACAGGACAACTAGGTGGCATAGTGCACTGTGCTGGGCCTGGAGTCAGGAAGACTCATCTTCCTGAGTTCAAATATGGCCTCAGACATTTAGTAGCTATATGATTTGGCAAGTCACTTAACCCATTTGTCTCAGCTTCCTCATCTGTACAATAAGCTGGAGAAGAATATTGCTGACTAGTTCAGCATCTTTTCCAAGAAAATGTCAAATGGGGTCACGAAGAGTCAGACACAACTGAACAGCAGCAATACATACATACATATGTATGTATATATATATATATATATATACACATATATGTAGGTATATTACATACTTTTATTTTCTGCATGTTCTTTCCCTATTCAGAATGTAAGCACCTTAAAAGCAGGGACAGTTTCATGTCTGTGTTTGTATCCCTAACACATAGCGTAGAGCTTAACACATAGTAGGCACTTAATAAATGTTGTTGATTGACTGAAAGGGCTGATAGTTTTTGAAGGATCAGAGCATAGAAAGGTAGTTTGGGGCACAAATAAGAAAAGTTATGTGCTACTGGGATTTTTTTGGAGGGGGAAGAATAAGAATTCCCAAGCCCTTTGGTCAATGATTTGAGGATACATTATTCTCAGAGGACCAAACGAGGGAGCTGCAAGAGAGAGGTCCTTGCCTAGGCTTTCAAATTCTTTACCGTTCTGTGGGATGAGAAGCACGTTCTGGAGGACTGTGGATTGCAGCCTAAGCCAGAATGAACTAGAGGGGACTTAATATCAAAACTTTAGACCAAAGATTCTTCATTTAGAGCTCATGAACAAGGTTTTACAAAAATATTTTAATAAGTATATTTTTATATAATTGGCTTCCTTTGTAATCCTGTGTATTTTATTTTATGCATTTAAAACACTATTCTAAGAAGGTGTTCATAGGTCTATAGGTTTCACCAGATTGCCAAAAAGATCCATGATACTCACAAAAAGGCTAGGAATCTCATGCATGTATGTATGTATATGCATGTACATATGCGTAGCAATCTATCCATCTGTCTGTCTATTTAACAATCTCTCTATTCATCCATCTAACCATCTACCTATCCATCCATTTATCTATCTAACTTTCTGTTATCTATCCATCTAGCTATCTGTCTCTATTTGGTGACACTTCCATAGCTGGTAATCCTGAAGATTCCTTGTAAATATTCATCTCTTATTGGGCCTGTCCAACCCCTCCCCATTATATATTTTGACTATAGTCTCTTATAGTAAAATCCCTTTTAGTTACCTAAGGGAATGTGCTATTATTGCAGTGCAAGGACAGAGGAAACAGTAAATCCTGTGGACTTCTTCCTATGGGAGACCTAAAATTTAGGGAACCTTAGTAAGAAGTGATGGCAGCTAGAAAGTTGAATGGGACTACCAGCGATCCAAGATCTGGGTTTGCTGTTAGGGGAAAAAAGTGGGGTCAAGGGGATCCATAGGCCCTTCTTGCACTGTGGCACCATAGCACCCCATCTGTAAAATGAGGGGGATGGACATGACATTAATAGTTCTCCTCTAGTTCTCAAATTCCATTCTAGAGTGAGTCTGGGGGCAGGTTCTGGACCATTGATGCTGAGGCATCTCTGAATGTCCATAATATCACACCAAGATTTGATGACTCCAGGACAAAAGATCCCATATGGATGGTATTGTAGGTGATTTAACTGATTATGAGACTTTCTTGGCTTTTGTGAGAGAAAGGTCAAAAAACAAGTTGAAGTACAGAAGAGAGCAAATTCTTCACATCAATCATGACTGCTTCACAGAGCTATTATTAGGAAGAGGTGACCAGAGTTTTACCTCAGGGCACTAAAATCTCAAGGGTAATGACAGTACTTATACCCTTTTCACCCAGAGACTACTGATTTTAGCATCTAATTAGCAATAATTAGTTAAAATAGAAAGGTGAAAGATGGTGGACTTCCTTCCCTTGGTAGCTGTATCTTAGAGGGCCCAGCAGTGGACTCATGGCATCTAAGGTTCTTTTTCCTAGGTGAAGGACTCCTTTTTTGTGTGTTATGGACCTCTTTGGGAGGCTGGTGAAACCTATGGAAGCCTTCTCAGATTGATGTTTTAAATGCATAAAATAAAATACATAGGATTATGAAGGAAACCAAGTATGTTGGAACAGATATAAAAAGTCTGTATTTTGATATATGTTTCAATATAATTGAATATAATATGTTTCTGTATAATTACATACATATATAATTACACATAACAATATATTCTCTCTCTCTCTCTCTTTCTCTTTCTCTATCTCTCTCTCTTTCTTACTGTAAACAAATTCACAGATCCCAGGTTAAAAATCTCTGGGCTGTAGTGTGTCAATGTCTCTTTTATTACCAACTAAATTTGCTTCATAAAGTTGAATTGAGAGCCACTAGTTTCTGTTTGCCTTGGGCCCATTTTATAAAACTTGCCCTATATGCCAAAATTGCTACTTGTAGATCTGCTATAAGACAGACTGGTGGAAATGGGGAGTAGGAACTCAATATGAAAATACACTGTAAGAATGATCCTGTCTGTTTATGGAATCCTGTGTTATTCTTCAATTATTTGCTATTACTATTACCAAGAAACTTGAAGCTTGAAATACTTTACTGAGTCTCATTCTCAACTAATCTTTCCTCTCCTTTGACTTGTTCCAGAACAAAATGGCCCAAGGGCACATAACACACAGCCCTTATAGTTTGTATAAAGACCAATATTGCTTGGCAAGACCTATGAACAAGATGTTACTGACAGGTGGAGAGTTTCTCCTGACTCTCTGTCCCCAAAGAAAGGAGGATAAAATATTTGGCCAGTTTTTTTGCTTTTTGTACCAAGTACAGCCATGTTATTCCCTTTCCTGGCAAGTTGTTGACCTCCAGAGAGAGAGGGCAAGGCTCAGAGATAACCATCTTTGGGAAATGCCATTTCTTCCATGCCCAACTCTTGAGCTAGCATCTCCATGAGATAATTTCCTTGCTAGCACATGCTTTAGGAGGAGAGTGTATTTCCCTTTGGAGGTGATGGAAAAAAGTTTAATCAGAGATGGTGGTTGTTTCTATGTCATTTTGACTTCAGGAGTAGGGCATAGAACCATCTACTTAGCTAAGTCTTTATATTCATCATCACTCTCATCTTTATTACTATAGATTATTTAATTGTATAATATAAACATGATATATGACAATGTTATAATTATGCTATTGTTGTGTTGTCTCATTATTGTAGCAAGGTTGGGGGAGCACCCAAAGCAAGTCAGCAAACAGTTGGCTGAGAATGGCCTGTGGACATAGGAGCCTTGCCTCAGTGACCCCTTTGGTATACTATTGCTATGTCACAAAAACGCCCCCTGCTGGGCACTCTTTCCAGGTGATGAGAGGTTAAACTCAATTGTGAAGATCAGGAGCGTGACTCTGAGGCCAAAATTCCAGGCTAGAATATTACTGTTCTGGGATATATGATGCATTCTGACTCTCAACAAATATAGAACTCCATCATAAGACTCCTATGGGAAAATAGGAGGAAATGGAGAAAAAAAAATGACTGCTCTCTTGAGCTGTGCAGTAGACAAAGTCACACACCTCACCACCAGGGAAGAAAGGAGGGAAAAACCTGGACTACCACAGTTGAGCTGCTGCAGGTTTCTAGGAGCCCTACCTCTGGTAACTTCGTCTTTCTCTTGTTATGCTATCAACTTATACAAAGATTGGGCCAGTCTGATCAGGGTACACCAGCATTGAAGCCAATTTAATTTGACTTAAGTATCTATTTTTTCCCTAGAAATGTCTGTATGTGTATGTGCTTATACATGTAGGTAGTGTAGCGCCTGGTAGTCATCTCTAAGGTCCAACTCCAGCCCCAACAGAGCACCTCTATACCCCACACCCCATCCTTGTTTGTAATAGTATAGAGCAAGAGAGAAGTCGGACCCACTAATTCTAGAGGCTGGAAAGACTTTCATATTTCATTCTTTCATTTAAAAAGGAAAATTATTACAATTACACATTATGACTTTTCCCATTACGATTTTGCTATATCTTGGGCCAGCATAAGAAATTAAATGGGAATTTTTTGGGAGTTTTGTGGAAGCTGCAGATGACACTTGGAGCCCAGCAGATGACACAGAAAAAGTTTAGAAACTCAGAAATGCACAGAATATATGTGCAATATTGTATAATATCAACATGTTTTATTTCTTAATACCATAATAATTCAGACTTCTTCTCTGGCATGAGGGGAGGGCCAAAAAATTTTGCTTGGATTTTCCAGATCCCTGGGGGCACTGGGCCCTTAACCTCTGTGATGTGAAAGGGATAACTGTATTTGTAATTCTGATTAGTCAAATTTTCAACAAAAAAGTTTAAGTTTTAAAGTCATGCAAGTAAATACCCATATAATACCCACATTATAATACCCATAATATAATAACACAATACCCATGGAAATACTCACCATGTCATAAAGAATACATCAAAAACACTTTGCCTGTACAGGTGTATTGACCATAAAGAATAAAACCAAGACCCTTCTTTCAACGGAATAAATCTACCTGGCTTCTTGAAGTGAGTATGACCTCTTTGAATTCCAAAAAGTTTACACATTATTTTTAGCCTATGCTAAGTACCTCATCATCATACTTTTTTTTAAAACCAACTCACATAGTTATTTTAAATTCTTTTTAGTCTTAAAATGATCAAGGTTCTCCCATTCTTTGAGGATACACAAGGCCCTCTGTGGGCCCTGCTCTCTCCCCTTAGTTTCAGTGGATTCCCTGCTCAGGCCATTGAAGCTCTTTGGTATAGGCACCTTTACAGCTTATAATTTTGTAGTTTTTCTCAAGTTCCAAACCAGGAATTGTGGATCTCCAACCAATAAAACCCTTAGTTGTCTGAGGAACTGGTGGTGAAGGGTAGACCTGAAATGAAAAATGTCAGGACTTTAAGTTATCTTTCTAACAAATTCATATTCAATTTAGCAAACATTTATGGAACACCTACCATATACCCTGTGCTAGCTATAGGAGATACAAAGAAGGTACTAAATAAGCTGTATTTTCAAGGAGCATAGTCTACTGTCAATCTATTTATTAAGGGCTTATGGCATGCCAAGCACTCTGCTAATAGCTGGAGGATACAAAGAAAAGGCTCTCTGTCTCTCTCTCTCTGCCTCTCTCTCTGTCTCTTTTTGTCTCTTTTTCCTGTGTGTGTGTATATATGTGTTATATATATATATATAACACATATATACACACACATACATATATATGTGTGTGTACATAAGATATATATGATACATCTCTCTGTGTATATATAGGTATATGTGTATATATATTTATGTATATATGTATATGTATATGTATATGTATGTTACCTGCCCTCAAGGAGGGCATTCTAATGGCTATTCTAAAGCCAAATAGCTTTAAAAAATGGATACATTTATATAAATAGGTATGTATGGGATACAGTACAATATAGGTAGCAGATAGCCCTAGAAGGGAAGGCTTTAGCAGATGGGAGGACTGGGGAAAGCTTCCTGAAGAAGGGGTATTGGAACTTAGTCTTGAAGGAAGCCAGGAATTCTAAGAGGTGGAAGTGAGTGGGGGAAGCAGACCAAGTATGGACAATAGCCCCATGCAAGGCATGAAGATGGAGCCTTGTGTGAGGGGAACAGCACATAGTCCAGTATGATTGTACTGTCAAGTGTGTGGAAGGGAGTAAAAAGCAAGGAGATTTGAAAGTAGGAAAGGACCATGTAGTGAAGAGCTTCAAATGACAAATGAACAATCTGAAGACTTATGTGTAAGGACCCGAACTTAAACAAAGTAACATACTGACCCTATTCTTGAAGGAACTGAGATCTTGGTTTGGGTATGCCCTCTGCTGATATAGATCACAGCTCTTCTATGCCTTAATAACTATATGGCCTTAGAGAATTTCTGTGGCCAAAATATTGGCAGCTGGTGGTACAATGGATAGAATGCTGGGGCTGGAGTCAGGAAGACCTGGGTTCAAATCCAGCCTCAGAGAGCTTACTAGCTCTGTGACCCTAGGGTAAGTCAATTAACCTCAGTTTCCTCTCCTATAAAATGGAGATAATAATAGCAACTACCTCCCAGCATTGTCAAAAAGATTAAATGAGATGATAGTAATTGGAAAGTGTTTAGCATAGTGCTTGGCACAGAGTGAATGCTATATAAATGTTGTTATTATTGTGGATTCTGTGGCCTACACTAGGGAGGTGCTGAACCTCTCCTGTATTAGCTAGACTGGTCCTAGAACATGGAATATCAGAATTGGTCCAACTGCCTCAATTTACATATGAGGAAACTGAGACCCAAAGAAGGGAAATGAGTTGCCCAAGGTCACAGGGTAAATTGGTGACATAACTGGGACTAGAACCTAGGTCTCTTGACTCTTCTAAGATCCCTGTAGGCAGAGTAAATATCATTATCCTTATTTTTCGATGAGGAAATCACAGCTCAGAAAGTTAAGGTTCTGTGATGGCAGACATGTATACGCCATCAGCAGAGCCAATGTTTCCTGAATCCTTTTCAGCTTGGTAGGAAGGACCTGCCAGAGTTTGTGCCCCACTGCCAAAGCTTCAGAGACCCCTGAAACAGTCCAGCACCACACTGACCAATCAAAGGAGAATATCCACAGAGAATATAACAATATGAACTTTAAAAATGCATTTTAAGATCAGAAGCATTCTGCTTCTGAAAATCAATTAAATACTTTTTATCATATAATTACTAATGTCCTTAATATTTTTCTTCTAGTAAAATAACTTCATTAATGAAGAAGAATCTGGTCTAAAATGTTTGACATTTTTGTGTCCAAACTGCCCTTTATAAAATCTATTGCAATTGTGTCAGATGACATTCTGGCTGTGCAAAACCTTCCTATTTTGATTAAAAGGCTCTAGTGCACACACACACACACACATACATACACACATACACAGATACACACACACACACACAGACACCCACCCACACACACACACACCCCAAACAAAAAAGTTCCTCACTGTCTAGACCACATGGAATAAAAGAAAACCGAATCTAATTAAAACAAAGAAAATAGCATCATATCTGGAATGAAAGAACACAGTTCAATTTGTCAATTCAATCAACAGATTTGAGCATTTTGGAAAATGATGGTAAATGTTTAGAAAGGTTTTTTTGTGATTGTAATTTTACATAATCATCTGTTCTGCTATTACAAGGTGATTTAGACAAAGACACAGGCTAGGAATATTAGATCTAGCAGAGTTAAGTGAGAGACAAGGGTGTTTAATACATTATGGATTATTGAACTCATCCTTATCTTTTTATTTTCCATTTCTGCCTGTAATAACCCCTTTAGCTGTCTGGGTTGGTTTAAACTGCTACAGAGAGAAGAAAAATCTGTCCTTTAATAGATTTTTTTCTATCAAATACAAAAATTAATCTCTAAGAAAATCCACAGAAAGAGAAAGAAGTCAAAGAGATACTTGAGGAACCAGAATTGCTATTGGGACAGCTTAGAAAGAGAAATTAGTTTTAAGGCCAAATAGCTTTAAAAAAAAACACAGCGGTCCTGGGGGATTCTTGTAACCAGCACTTTAAGTTGGACCTTTTAATTCCATGTTGAACAAGAAAGAAAGATGACAAAGTAAAGGAACTGACCAATGTAATTGGATACATATATATACACACAGACATACACACACAGACATACACACATTATATATGGATATCTGTATATGTATAAGTATGTATGTACATATATGTAGATGTATGTATATATGTGTATCTATGGAGAGTATGTATATATGTAGCTCTGAGCCAAGCAAATTCAGCCCTGCTCTCTGCTTGGGGCTGGGCCAGAGTTTGGCTGGAATGCCTGGGCTGCACGAAAACAGCTCTCTGCTGTATGGCTTTCACATCTGGGGACTTACTCAATAGAGAAACACACGGAGAGAAAACAATGTTTCGGTTTGTTCTCTTGCCAGGACTATTCTTCTTTGTTCTCCAGCCAAGGCTGGAAACTGTTTGTGATACTTAGGTGGAGCCCCTTCCTTTGAAAAGATAATTATGGCGGTCACAAGTGCCACCCACTGAGCAGCAGAATGGGGAAACCGATGCTCCTCTGTGCTGAAGCCACCAGGAGCCAGACTCCAGAAAGGAATGAGTAGGAGTGGGGGATTAAATCTAATCTACCTCAGTGGAAAGGATACAGTCTGATGATCCATTGCTAACAGGAAAAGCAGACAGTGTCATTTTTACCCACAGATGTGAAGAGGATTAAGTCACTTTTCCCCCCTTTGGCATTCTTCTGGGTACCCAACACAGATCTCCTAAAGAGTTCTAGCTGGGATGGTTCTGAACCTGGAAGCATAAATCAAGGGCACACTAGAGAATGTGATAGTGTCTTGGAAGACCAGACACTCATAGCAGTACAGAGGAGAGAGAACTCAAAGTCATTAAGAAGAAAGGTTCCTGAGGGCGGGGGGGAGTCAGTCATCATGCATTTATTAAGTGATATGTACTAAGCACTGTACAAACAGCTTAAACAAAGAAAAGCAAAAACAGTTACTGCTATTCAAGTACCTTTTTCCTCTCTTCCCTCCTCTTCTTCTTCTATCATCAATCAATCAATCAATCAATCTGAATTTATTGACTACCTACTATATGTCAGGCACTGTGCTAAGTGCCAGGGATACAAAGATAAAATGTCTGCCCTCCAAGAGCTATCATTCTATCATATATAGATAGGTGAGGCAGTGGATAGAGCACTTGGGTTAAGTAGATGGTGCAAATATCTCCTTAGACACCTAATAACTGTGTGACTTGAAACAAGTCACTTAACCTAGATTTGCCTCTGTTCTCTCAACTGTAAAATCAGGATGGTAATAGCACCTACCTCCTGGAATTGTTGTGAGGATCAAATGAGACAATATTTGTGAAAAGCACTTAGCATGGTGCCTGACACAGAGTAGGTACTACATAGATGCTAACTATTATTATTTCATTATTACTGGCTTCAACAGTTTGCCTACAGCCAGTACAAGCAAGTGGTAAGAATATTCGATTGAGGATTCAGGAAACCTGGGTATGGCTTCTGGCTCTAGCAATAATTGGTTGAGTAATTCTGCGGAAATCATTCCACCATTTTGGTCCTCTGACCTATAAAATGAGGATACTGTACTCAATAATCTCTAAGTTTCCCTTCCAACTCTAATGATCTGTGATTGTATAATTATCATAAAAATCAGTGATCATTCTTATCATTTGAATTCAGTCTGACATCCAAAATCTTCTACAATCTGCTTCCAATCTACCTTTCTAGCTTTATATCCCCACCAATCCCATTCACGCCCTTTATGTTCTCGCCAAACCAGACCTTTTCCTGAAACTCTCCCACTTCCATACCTTCATTCACTTTATCTCCCATGTCAGATTTCTCCGTCTCTGCCTGCTGAAATATTTCCAATTCTAAAAGAGTTATGGTGGGGGGGATGGAGGACCTATCTCTTCTATGAAACTTTCTCAATTTCTCCCCATCTTTACTCTCTAGATGATGTATCTCTCTTTCAATCTTTTCTTATATTGTTTATGTCTGTTTCATGCACTTTGCAAATCTTAATTGTTTCATATTAATGTGTCTTATGTTACTACTCTCAGCTTTAAAAACTCCCTGATACCAGGGACTGCCAGTCACTATTTTATAAAAAAAAGCACAATATTTTGCACATATGAGGTTAAATAAATAACCAAGATTATGATGATTCATTTGAATGACCACAATATTTTAGATTTAGAAATTAAAGGGACCAAAGAAGGTCATTGATTCAATCTTTTTTCTCCCCATTTTACAGATGAGGAAATTGAGGCCTGAAAGGTTAGGTGATTAGACTAGGGTCACAAAACTCATACATGTCTGAAATGGGATTCAAATTCAGGTTTTCTTGATTCCAAGTCCACTCCTTTATCCCCTATACCATGCTGCTTCCCATAAGAAACTAGTGGGGGTTTTTTTTTTTGCTTTTTTTTTTTAAAGTATAGGCAATTTACTCTAGACTCAGAATTAAAAGTTGCACTCACTATTCCTCCCAATTTTCCATTTCTTACCCCTCAGGGAACAACAATTGTGCTCTCTGAAGCTTTATATGGAGAAAATCTTCCATCTGTTGCAGTGTCTGGAGCTTTAGAAAACAATAGCTAATACTAATCTTATTTTGTTTTTTGTTTCTCAAAGCACTTTGAAAAAATTCAAGTGCTATATAAATGCTAGCTATTATTATCATCATCTTCTACAGGAAGTCTTCCTCAACCTTTCTTAATCCTAGTGCTTTCCTTCTATTAATTTTTTCCTGTTTATCCAATATATAGCTTGTTTTTTACATATTCATTTACATGTTGTCTCCCCTGCCATTGGATTGTAAACTCCTCGAGGGCAGGAATTATCTCTTGCCTCTTTTTGTAACCCCAGAGCTTAGCACAGTTCCTGGCACATAGTAGGCACTTAATAAATGTTTCTTGATTGATTGATCATCTAATTATCAGCATCATCATCATGCAGGTGGGACTTGAGTTGGTTCTTGAAAGATTGGCAGGACTTGGATAGAGGAAGTAAGGGGGATGAATATTTCAGGTGGGAGAAGACATGGAAGAAGAAAGGGGCATGGAGTGACACAGGGAGGAACCAGATCTGACTGGAGATAGGAATTTATTGGTTATGGTAGAAAATGAGGTTAAACAAACAGCTATGTGAGGGAGATGTTTTAGTTTATTCACTTTTTAAAAAATATCTTTGTTTTTCTATCCTTATGTGATGTGGCATCATTTCTGAGAGCCACAGGAAAGTCTAGATATGTAGTATACACTATGTAATGTCTACCAGGCAATTAGGAGAGCTGGGTTCTAGTTCCGGCTTTGCCATTAAGTAGCTAGGTGAGCTTGAGGAAGGCGTGCAGACTCTGGACTGCACTGTCCTTATCTGTCATATGAAAGGTTTGAACTGTTTTTGGGGTCAGGATTGTTAGCTTAGTAGATGAGGAGAATGCTATATAATCTACTTAGATTTTAGCAAATCCTTTGACAAACTGTGCTTTTCTTATAGGTAGGAAGAGAGATGTGGGCTAGATGATAATATCTCTAGGTAGATTTGGAACTGTTTGAATATTTGAACCTAAAGAATAGTAATTAATGGTTCCCCTGCAACTTAAAAGGAGGTCTCTACTGGAATGCCCTGGGGATATGATTTGGTCCTATAGTATTTAACCTTTTTTTCTCAAATGCTTTATATTAATTTTAAATTAATATATGATAAACACATGATAAATACATGATAAATACATGATAAATGTCAGCAAATGTGAATACTTCAGTATACAAAGATCATCTAGGCGATACAGTGGGTAGAGTGCCGACTTTAAAAGCCAGGAAGACTTGAGTTCAAATTCTGCCTCAGACCCTACTGGTGTAACTATGTGGTTCTGAGAAAATCACTTAGCCTCTCAGCTTCAGTTTCCTCATCTGTAAAATTGAGATAATGATACAGCCTACCTTTCAGGGTTGTTGTGAGGATTAAATGAAATAATATTTATAAAGTGCTCTGTAAACTTTATTTTAGGCAAGGCAATTGGAGTTAAGTGACTTGCCCAGGATCACACAGCTAATAAGTGTCAAGTGTCTGAAGCTGGATTTGAACTCAGGTCCTCCTCACTCCAAGGCTGGTGCTCTATCCACTGTGCCACCTAGCTGCCTCTAAACTTTAAAGATCTATATAAATTATAGCTAGGTTATAATAGGAAAGAAGTTTGCATACGAAACTATATACTTCTGCTATGTAAAATATGTTCTATTTAACATTTATATTAGTGATGGATAAAGACATAGATGGCATTCTTATTAAATTCATAGATGACACAAAGATATGAAAGGACTGGAATCCAAAAAGACAGGCTAGAAATCTGGGTTGAATTGAATAAGATCAAAGTTAACAGAGATAAATGTAAAGTGTTAGCAACAGGGTTCAAAAATTCAATTCCACAACTACAAGATGGTGGAGATATGCCTAGATAGCAGTTTGTCTATAAAAGATCTGGGGAGATGGGGTCTTAATGTACTACAAACTCAACATGTCAACAATATGCCAGAGGAGCCAAGAAAAGCTAATGCAGTGCCAGGCTTCATTAAGAGAGGAGTTATGAGTCCAGGATTAGGAAGATGATAGTCTTACTCTACTCTGTTCTGATTAAATTGCATCTGGAGCATTAGGTTCAATTCTGCACACCGTACTTTAGGAAGGTCTAGAAAAGGGAGAAAGTGAAAGAGAAGGGAGAAAGTGAAAGAGAAGGGAGAAAAGTGAAGAGCCCTGTAATCTTTCCAAATGAGGAATGATTGAAGCAATTGGATATATTTAGCTTGAAGTAGATAATATTTGTAGGAGTAAGGGAGGAAGGGCATGTTAATTATCTTCAAGTGTTAGAATGGCTGCCATTTGAAAGAGAGACTAGGCTTGTTCTCCTTGGCACCACAGAGCAGGACTAGGAACAATGAATGGAAGTTACAAACAGGCAAATTTAGGCTAGATATAAGCTATTCCATAGTGAAGTGGGCTGTCTTAGGAGGTAGTAGGTTAGTTTGATACCCTCACCCCAACCCCCATTGAAGTTCAAGGAAAGCCTGGATAATAGTTTATCAGGTGTGTTGTAGAAGGGATATTGTTCAGGTGCATAGTGTACTAGTGGGGCAGCTAGATGGCTCAGTGGATAGAGTATTGAGTCAATAGGACCTGAGTTCAAATCTGGCCTCAGACATTTATTAGCTATGTGACCTTGGGCAAGTTACTTAACCTCTGTTTGCCTTAATCCGCTGTAGAAGGAAATGGCAAACCACTCCAGTGCCTTTGCCAAGAAAACCCCACAAACAGTATGGTATTACAAAGAGTTGGACTCGATTGAACAACGACAAATGTTATATTAGGTGACCTCTAAGGTACCTTCCAAATTTGAGAATCTATGATTCTATGCCCAGATGATCTCTAAATTTTGATTGACGATGATGATGACTATTATAGCTAGCATATAGCTACCTTAAAGTGTGCTTTAAGGTTGCAAAGTACTTTACAAATATTATTTCATTTTATCTTCACAACAACCTTGAGAGAAAATGCTATTATTGCCCCCGTTTTATAGATGAGGAAATTGGAGCAGTCAGAGGCTAAGTGACTTATCCTAGGTCACATAGCAAGTAAGTGTCTAAGGCCAGATTTGAACTCAGATCTTCCTGACTCTGGATGCAGTGCTCAATCCATTGTGTCACCTGGCTGCCTCTTACATTTTATATTTCTTGTATTTCTAAATTTTATGATTCTATAGATTATATTGGGCATCACATTATTCAGATAATTGCCTTCCCTTTAAGTTAAGAGCAATAGAGAGAAAAGAGAACTATAAGCATCTCCTATGTAGACATAGAAGGAATGAATACTTGATTAGAAACTAAGAGACCTGGAATCTAGGTTCTGCTCTGTTATTAAATCATTGTTAGACCTCAGGCAAGTCGCTTAATTTCTCATCTCTTAAATGAGGTGTTAGACTAGATAATTTCTGAAATTCCTTCCAGATTTAATCTATATTCTAAGACTCAGGTCTGATTACACCCCTCTTCAATAAACTCCATTGGCTCCCTATAGCTTCCAGGATCAGATATCTAATTATCTGAAGTTCAAAAGCCTTTATAACCTGCCTTGCTCTCACCTCCCCCCTTTTCCCATTTTCCTACACCTTTCCTACACCTACAGCCCACAAGTACTCTTTGATCCAGTGACAGTGGCCTTGAAGAAGACATTCCAATCTCCTTACTCTGGGCATTTTCACTGGATGTATCCCATGCTTGGCATACTCTCCTTCCTCATCTCTCCTTCTTGATTTCCCTCAAATCTCAGATAAAATCCCATCTACAGGAAAAAAAAAATTTCCCAGTTCTTTTTAATTCCAATGTCTTCCATCTGTGGATTATTTCGAACGTGTCCTGTATGTAGTTTGTTTTTACATAGTTATTTCCACGATTTCTCTCCTCTTAGATTGTGAGATCCTTGATAGCAGAGACTTTCTTCTACCTTTCTTTGTATCCCTAGTGCTTTGCACAGTACTTGGCACATATTGGTGCTTAATTAATGTTTATTGACTAACTCCTTGCTAGCCTGACTTTCTATCTTGCATATTAAAAGGTCTCTTCCATTGTTAATATCTTAAGTCTTACATTCTAAAGGCCCTTCTAGCTCTAATATTTGATGTATCTGATATACAACACAGCACATCCTTCAATGTCCTGAAAAGTAGAAAGTGATATTTCTATAGTTCTAAATTAAGATTCAGTGCAGTGGTGTATTCTTCTAGCCTCTGAATTTTTATTTTTGCATCTAGAATGAATATGATTTCCATTGTGGTTCATTTTTTATTTATGAAAACAGTATTGAAAATTCCATTTTCTAACCTTAATATATTTTTCCACTGGTGTCACGGGCCGGATGCGTAAATGTCCTGGAAGTTCTATCTTGGGCTTCGGAGGCTTAGGTACTTCCCCTTCTCTCCTCAGTAACTAAAACAGAATGTCTAGGTCACCAAAGAATATTTGAATTCAGCATGATTATTTTCCCCAGAAAGCTGCCCAATGTGTTCCCAACTTAATTCCCCAAGCTAAACTCAAAGCTAATGAATTCATACCTGAAAATCTGCCCAGTTTCTTAAGGCTACCCTCTAAATGTTGGTATTCTATATATATGTACATGTATACATACATATATACATATATGTACACACATACACATACATGTATATACACATACACATACATACACACGTATGCACTTTGCAAGGACAGAAGCAGCACATGCACTGTTGTACCAAATCTTAAATATTTAGAATCTATAGTGGTTATCACACCAATACTCATAGAACCTGGGAGTATTTGCCGAGTGTAGACCACTTCAAATGATTTTTCAATGGCAAGTGGGTCATGTTTTGCCTTATTAAATTCTTCTTTATAAAATGGTTTTTGAATGCATTGTAACCTATCTCCTCATTTAGACTCCTAGACTCTGGAGTCAGCCATAACTGATACTGATTTCGATGGAACTTAAAATTGAGTTTTGGGGCGCACGCGCGTGTGTGTGTGTGTGTGTGTGTGTGTATGTGTGTGTGTAACCAAAACCACTTTAAATCTCCTCCAATCCCTCCAGAGTTAATTGCAAATCTACAATTACTGAAGAAAATGTTATCTTAAATTTTTAAATTTGCATTATGTATGAAGAAAGAGTTTGTCAAAAGCATGGTAAATATAAACAAGATTTATGGTAAGGGTAATGTTTATCCCAAGGAAGACAAACTCTCTTTTCAAACACTATGATAACAATATTTAGTTTGTAGTGGAAAAGGCAGGGACCAAGGGTTCATGACTAAATGTTATCTCCCCCATTAGACTGTGAGCTGCTTGAGAGCAGGAACTGTCTTTTGCGCTTAAGTGTCTGGCACATAGTAGGTACTTAATAAATGTTAAATGACTGACTGACTCAAGTTTGGTGTCTAGGATTCCTTAGTAATGTAACTTTGCTCTACCCTATAGGATTAAAAGATCATGGATTTATAGCTATAAGGGCCTTTGGATGGCATAGATCTTCTTTTACAGGTGAGGAAAATGAAATTCATAAAGGCTAAGAGATTTACCTAAGGTCATAACTGGCATCTCTTTAAACTTCAACCTCTGTTTTACAAATGGAGGTGATAACAATGCCTTGACAGCCCTACAAGGGTTATTTTGAAGAAAGTACTTTGTATACCCTAAATCACAATACAGATATAAACAATTACTGTTTGTGTTGAAGTTAGGGGTCCCTAACTTTTATTAGTTAATATTTTCTTAGCCAATTTTGAGTTGCTGAAGAGACCTGGATGTTATAAACTGAATTTCTTTTTAAAGGCAATTCAAACTTTTTTGCTAATTCAAAATGGCCTGCCCAATTTTATCTCAGATTGGCTAGGTTTTATTGAATTCCTAATTTGAATGAATACATTGATATAGGCAGTGGTATGCTAGTAAATACTTAATAACTTGCTCTCAAAACTGTATGCGACACTTTAAAATTTAATCTGCATCATTAACATTTTCTGCATCACTTTCTTAAGTCTAGACAATCAAAAAAACAACAAATCAAGTCCTGATTTGTAATTTGCTAGTTTCTGAGGTGTAAGCATTCACACTCAAAGTTTTGATAGTCTAACAATTGGCTCTGGCTGGTAAGAGCTGGCTCCAGCACACCCTGGGATAATAGACTGCCTCTGAATACTGTTTCTAGGTAACAGAACCATAGAGAATGAATCATCTTCACCAAGATGAAAATTACCTTATTAGCCTACCCAAATGCACTCCCCTCAAGTGAAATTATTTGAAAGGAAAAAAAAACATAGGCTACATTGTAAACACAGTGCACAACTGCGGCTCACTTTCAGGCCAAATTTTGAGAAAAGTTTAACCTAAATTTGGACCAATATAATAATGATGATAACTCACATTTACATAGTCGTTCATATAGTGTTGGAAAGGATCTTAGTGGTTTTCTAGTTCAAACTCTTTGTTTTACAGATGAAGAAACTGAGCCCCAGAGAGAGGAGATGATAAACTCAGGATCCCATGGGAAATAAGTGGCAGAGAGGGGATTTGAACCTAGCTTCTCTAATTCCAAATCCATTAAACTCTGCTGCTTCTCTAGCCTTTCAAATTTTATAAAACACTTTAGCATCAAGATTTAAGAGTTGAAAGGAATCTTTGAAGTCATCTAATCCAAACCCCACATTTTAGAGATGGAACCTGAAACCCAGAGAGCTGGAAGGGACCTTAGAGGACACGTAGTACATCACTGTCATTTATAGATGAGGAAACTGAGGACAGGAGAACTGAAGTTAACTTCCCAAGGTCATAAAGTTATAGGTAAAAAAAAACAACTGGGTTTTGAACTCAGATCCTCTGACCCAGGGGACTGTTATTAATTCACTGGTATTTCCATTAAATCATGGAAACCTGAAGTATTTCTAGTATTGTTAACCTCCCCTAACATATACCCCAAATAAATAGCATGGTTGGGGCTGGCTTATTTTTTGTGAAGCAGATTTTTCCCTATTGGTTTCTAGGACATCACTGAAGATAATAATAATCCTATAAAGAAATTAATGAAAAGTTCTTCTGATTTCTAAATATTTGTCTTTATAAAACCTCATTTTGTGTCCCCACCTCTCCCCACCCCCCCAACCAAAAAAAAAAAAAAGAAATGGTATCTTACTTAGTTTTGCCTGACACTGGCTATTTTATTAGCTACAACAATGAATTGGAGGAATAAGAGATTATAGTCATTTGGGTCAGTATCTGATATGTCACAATTCCATTCTTGCACATTGTACATTTCATAGCCATGTGTCTCTTAAAATTAACTATTACCTCTTCCATAGAGATTGTTAAAAATCCCCAATTCTTAGACCAATTATTCCGTGCATCTGACTCAGCTTGAAGGCGATATTTCCTGAAATTAATAATCTCAGAGTTATGAAAGCAAATTTTGTAAGCTATACTAGCAAATAACCAAACCTATGAAGTTGCACTCCATCATTGACTTACATTATTAATTTGCACTGTTATTAATTTCCCAAGTTAGACAGTTAAAGTGACCTAACAAACCTGGGCTAGAATTAGCAAGACAAAAGGAAGGAAACAAGCATTTTTAAGTACATGCTATATGCCAGGCACTGTACTAAATGCTTCACAAACTTTATCTCATTTAATCCTCACAAAAATCCTGGGAGGTAAGTACAATTATAATCACCATTTTGTAGTCAAAGAAACTGAAGCAGACAGAGGTTAAGTCATTTGCCCAGGTTCACACAGTTAGTAGGTATATGAAGCAAGATTTGAACTCAGGTCTTCTTGACTCCAAGCATAGCACTCTATCCACTTCCCTACCTCTAATGATATGCTGATCATTACAGAATAGCAGGGTTTCAGAATTAGAAGGGACATCAGAGAGCATCTAGGACAGCCCTTCCTTTCATTTATTCATTCATTTGAAAGGCATTGAGAAAGTGCTTACTATGTGTTAGGCAGTGTGCTAAGTGCTAAAAATACAAACACTAAAGTAAAACCCTATCTGTCCTCAAGGAGCTTACATTCTATTGGGAGAAACAATAGGCATAAATATAATTAAATACAAGATACATACATAAAATCATTTCAGGGGGGCACTAACCTCTGGGAGAATCGAGAAAGGCCTCAAATGTGTGATAACTCTTGAACTAAATCTCAAAGGAATCCAGGGATTTTAAGACATAGTTGAGTAGGAAGGAAGTACATTCCAAGTATGGAGAAGATAGGAGACAGAATGTTGAATGTGGCAGGCCAACCAGTTTGCCTATAGGGGTAGGTAACCTGCAGTCTCAAGACCAAATGTGACTTTCTAGGTCCTTGGGTGGGGCCTTTTGAGTGAGTCCAAGTTTTACAGAACAAATCCTTTTATTAAGGGGATTTGTTTGTGTGAAGCTTGGATTTGGTCAAAGGGCCACCCTTGAGGACCTAGAGGGCCACACGTGGCCTCGAGGCTGCGGGTGCCCCACCCCACCCTAGAACATAGTGAAAAGAGAGTAATGTATAATAAGCCTGGAAGAGTTGTCTAGATCCATATTGTGAGGGGCTTTAGGGAGCTACTAGAACATTTTGTTTGGAAAAGTGACATAGATCCACCTCTGCCTTTCTGAATACTGGCATATATGTGGAGGATAGATTGGAGAGGAGAGAGATGGGAAGACCAATTAAAATGTGATTGCCATAATCTAGGAGAGAGGAGATTAGGGTCTGAGGTAGGGTGGTGGTTATGTGAATAGAGATGTTGTATGGTAAGAAGCAACCCAGCTTGGTAACTGATTGGACATGGGGAGTGAGGGAAAATGAAAAGGCTAGAATGACTTTGAGGTTGTCAACTTGGATATCTGGAAAGATGGTGGTCCCCTCAACACATATAGGGAAATTAGCAGAAGGGGAAAAGATAAAGAGTTCTGTTTGGACATGTTGAGCCTGAAATGTCTGTGGGAGATCTAATGATTGTTTGATAGGCAGTTTTTGATTTTTAACTTGACCTTAGGAGACAAACATAGATTTGGGAGTCCTCATGATAAAGATGATACTTGAACCTGGGATAGTTGATAAAATCACTGAGAGAGGGTATATACAGAATGAAGAGAAGAGAGCTCTAGGGGACACTCACAGTTAGGGTATGGGGTTTAGATGTTGAACTAGCAGAGGAGACTGCCAAGGAATGGCCAGACAGGTTGTGGGTCAACTAAGAGAGAAGAGAGTCATGAAACCCAGAGAGGAGAGAATACCTAAGAACTGATGGATAATCACCTCAACAGCAACTTCAACAAGTGGTTATTCAGCCTTGGCTCGAATAGAGATAAGAGAATCTACTACCTCCTGAGGCATTGCATTATACTTTTGGACAGTCCTAATTGTTAGGAAATTCTTCCTTACATGAGCAAAAACTTGTGTTACTGAAGCTTCCATCATCTTGGAGTTGTTCTTTAGAGCCAAGCTAAAAAAGTATCTCTCTTACGACTTTTCTTCAAATATCTGAAGACTATGATCATATAATCAAGCTTTTCTATGGTAAACCCCACCGTTACTTCTTTGATCCTTGTATGAGAACCTTTTACCATTTTGGTTACCTGCTTCCAGACATCATTCATTTGTCAATATTTTCCTACCTGTCAAAGTTTGTCCAGAATTGAATTCAATTTTCCAGATATGGGCTGCTTATTAGGACACGTAATAGCAGGACTATTGCTTTTCTCATTCTGAATACTTTCCTTTTATTAGGGAAAATTCAGATATAGTTTAGAACTACTAAATCTAAGCAAATCTTAGTGATTGGGGCCAAAATTTAAATGCAAGGCAAATCCTTAATATATGCTAATTGAGAAATAAAACAAATTAGGTATACCTTATTTAAAAATCATTTTTCAAAGATTTCACAGACCTTCAGAGCTAGAAGGGACATTATACATTCAATTTCTACCTATGCAAAAATCCTTTATACAGAATTAATGGAAAACTAGTCATCCTGCCTCTGCTTGAACACCTTTAGTGATGGGAAACTCACTATATCCTGTGATAGCTCTTTTATCTGATTTATAAAAGAATTGAGAAGGAAATGTTCTAGCCAGCATGCAATCGTAGGAGTATGAACTGCCTGATGAGTGTTTCTTTTACCTCGCTGGCATGGAGTTCTGTAGAATAATATAGCCATTTGTAATAAAAAAAATAATGATTAGCATTTATATAGTGCCTACTCTGTGCCAGGCACTGTGCTAAGAGCTCTACAAATATCTCATTTTATCTTCACAACAACTCTGTGAGGTAGGTGCTATTATCATCCACATTTTACAATTGAGAAAATTAAAGCGAACAAGTTAAGTGACTTGCCCAGGGTCAGACTGAACTCAATTCTTCCTGATGCTAGGCCCAGCTCTCTATCCACTATACCACCTTTGTGCAGGGGAGAAAGATGTAGAGTCTAGGAGTCAACTTTTGTGTGATTTATTTTGCTATTCTGTCCTAATTAAAAGCTTTGCTATTTGATTTATTATTCTTGGTCTGTTGATAAAGAATGCCTTGGGGGAGTGTGTGGGTGGGCAGGGTTTGAGTTATACTTGTTTAATTGAGAATAACTATTATTACCTGTAATAACCTACATAGAACATGAAGTAGGGAAGGGTTCCTGAGTTGTTTGGGTCCTGTGCTATATATACTTCATGTATCTTAAGTCCTCCTATTTCAAATTATTTTGTATTTCACTACTTAGTAAATATTTTTATTGATTTACTTTATATTTATCCTGTATATATTCTTATTCATAGTATTAGAATGTAAACTTCTTGTGATTAGGGATTGTTTCATTCTTTTTATGTGTATCCTCAACATCTAGTAGTACATGGTAGGTACTTCATAAATACTAATTAATTGATTGATCAATATAAAGTGTGGTTTGTTTTTTCAACATAGAGAAAAATACAAAGCTGAGGCTTAGGCCGTCAGCCTATGTCAGATCTCTGTAAATTCTTTGAAGTTATTTGCCTCTCTGTATTCCCCAGTCCCAACCCAGCTATATTTCCTTTTATGCCCCCTTGTCTTTATTTCTGCCTCTCCACCACCACTTCCCCTCATCCTCAGTACCTTAAATAGAAACACTAGCCCTGAAATGTTTGCTGAAAGCCTGGCTACTGGCCCTCAACTGTGGCTGCTGCTCTTTTTGAATCCAGAATTAGAGAATTTGGTCATTCTGAGACCAAGGTGAGATCTGTCAGCCAGAAAGCTAAGGGCAGAAGGAAACCCAGGAAACTTTTGTTGTTGTTGTTCAGCAGAGTCCAACTCTTTGTGGCCCCATTTGAGGTTCTTGGCAAAGATACTGGAGTGGTTTGCCATTTCCTTCTCCAACTCATTTTACAGATGATTTATAGATGATTTATGATTTATGGATGAGGAAACTGAGGCAAACAAGGTTAAGTGATTTGCCCAGGGTCACACAGTAAATATCTGAGGCCAGATTTTAAATCAGGAAGATGAGTCTGGCACTCTATTCACTAAACCACCTAGCTTCTCAGGAAAATTTACTGTTCCATAAAACTTTTAAGGCACAAAAGGAAAGGGGAAAAGATGAGTCACTCATGTCAAGCTATGTTTCTTGATCCTTCAAGAACCGTGGGCTAATTATAGAATATCAAAGCTAAAAGAGAGTGCAAAGGCATCTAAATTCACCTATATATATGTGAATCAATCAAAAAGTATATCAATCAGCAAGCATTTATTAAGTGCCTACTATGTGCCAGGTACCATGCTTGCTCTCTGGAATATAAAGACAAAAATGAAACAGTCCCTGCCCTCATTGAACTTACTATCAGGAGAGAAAAAAATTACATTACACAAAATATCTATAAAAGAAACACTAGGAAATATTTTTCTGGAGGACATACTAGCATTTGGAGGTAGAAAGAGGGCATCAGGTAGGAAATAGAACTTGAGCTAACCTTTAAAGAAAACTAGGTATTTTAAAAAGTGATGGTCAGTGTGGGAGGGGATAATCAAAAGCAAACAGTCTGAGGCGGGACAAGGTCAAAAGACAGAATAGAATAAATGGGGGGGTAGGATAGGATGAAGGGAAATATGCTTAGTTTTCCGCAACAGGACTACTATGGAAGTGTTTTGCATGACTACACATCTATAAACTGTATCGAGATGCTTGCCTTTTCAATGAGGGTGAATGGGGAGGGAGGAAGGGAGAAAATTTGTAACCCAAAGTTTTAAAAACACATGTTAAAAATAAACAAATAAAAATTAAAAAAAAATGATGGTCAGGAGGCAGCGCATTCCAGACTTGGGAAGTGTCCTAGGGCTAAGCCTAGTGATGGGAGAGCGAATGTCTTGTGGAAAGAACAACAGGAAAACTAATCTAGCTGGATTATAAAATATGCTGAAGCAGGTAGTGAATAATAAGATTGGAAAGGTAGTTTGGAGGCAGATTGTGAAGATCACTAAATGCTAAACTAAGAAGTCTATATTTCTTCTCCACTCTGAGCATTCTCCGTGGCTGTCCCCCGTGCCTGGAATGCTCTCCCTTCTTTTCTCTGACTACTGACCTCCCTGGCTTCCTTTAAGTTCCAATTAAAATCCCACCTTCTACAGGAAACTTTTCCCAACCCTTCTTGATTGCAGTGTCTTCCCTCTGTTAATTATTTCCTATTTATCCTGAACGTAGCTTGTTTTGTATATATTTGTTTGCTTGTTCTCTCCTCCATTTCCCTTCTCCAGTTCGAGCATAGGTCTGACCATGTTATTCCCCTGCTCAATCAAGTCAAATCTCTCTATCGTCCCTAGGATCAAATACAAAAAAAACACTGTTTGACATGGAAAGCCCTTTACAATCTTGCTCCTGCCTATCTTTCTAGGCCCATTACTCTTTATACACCCTACATTCCAGTCAAACTGGTCTACTTGGTTATTCCTCCCATGTAGCAAACACTCCATCTCCCACCTGTGTCTTTGTATACCTTGTCCCCTGTGCCTGGAATGCACTCATTTTTTACCTTTAAAGGCTCCTTAGAATTTTTACTTTCCTTCAAAGTACAACTCAAATAGCACTTTCTCCATAAGGCCATTTCTGATCCTCCAGTTGCTAGTATTTCCTCCCTAACATATTCCCTAACATATGTATGTATATATCTATCTGTCTCACAAACACATATAAATATATATTTTATGTACATATGTATTTTATAAAATATATTAGTACAAGTATATTATATGAAAGATAATATATAATGCATTTTTTCTATATATATACTTATATGAGTACATGTCTTCCCTAATAGAATGTGAGCTTTTTGAGGGTAGAGACCCTTTTATTTTTGTCTTTGTATCCCCAGTGCCTGGTCCATAGTAAGCACTTAATAAAACATTTTTTGGTTAATTGATCTTGGTGGCTCTTCTTTGAATGTTCTTCAGCTTATCAATGTCACTTCTAAAATAGGATGCCCAGAATTGAACACAATACTCCAGACAGGGTCTGACTAGGGCAAAATATAGCAGGATCTTCACTTCCCTAGTTGTGGACTTGAGACCTTTTTTTTAAAATGCAGTTTAAGATTGCATTTAGTGTTGGTTTTGGCTGCCACACTACCCCATTGACTCAGTTGCATTCCATTAAATATCCCTGTTTTTTTCCCAGAGTAATTGCAATCTAGACATGCATCCTACTTCTTATAACTGCAAAAGTGATTTTAAAAAAAGAAAACAAACAGGTCGAAGATTTTTCATTTGTCCTTACTAAATTTCATCTTTCTAGGTTTGGCTCAAGGTTTATCCTCTTCTTAAGATTTCGTGAAGCTTTCGCCTTTGTCATCCAATGCATTAGCTATTTCTTCCAGTTTTGTGTCACTTGCAAATTGGGTAAGAATGTAATATACCCTTTTGTTCAATTCAGTAATAACCTTGTCCAATAAGGAAATGAACCTGTTTTATTATTACTGGTTCCTGATAAAGTTGAGATGACTCTTTGTGATCACTGCTTCCTTTTCTTGCTATTTACTAACCATCCTTTATAATTTGTTCTAGAATTTCTCCAAGGAACAAAAATCAAGTTCACTAGCTTATAGTTGAAAGTCTTTAAAAATAGGGACAATATTTGCCCTTCTCTGATTTGTTCCATTCTCTATGATCTTTCAGAAATCTCTAACAGAGGATCTGACTTCTCATCTGCCAGAGCTTTCATAATCCTAGGCTATTTTTCATCTGGGCCTACTGACTTGAATTTATCAAGGACATCTGGATGCCCTTTTACTGTCTCCTTATTTATCTTAAGTATCAATGCTTTAGTAATAATTTTTGGTATGTCCCTTATAATCCTTCTCATGGGCATTCTCTCTATTGTCGGTTATTATTGTCCTATCCACCCCCTTTGTCCTCAATGCAGCTTAAAACTCTCTCCCTCTATTTTTTCCCCTTCACATTCCTTGCCAAACACAATTTATTCTGAATGTTAGTGCTCCTGACACTATTCTTGTGGGACTTGTATTCAGCTTTCATTACCTCCCCTCACTTCTATCTTCCGTATTGTTTCTTTTCACATTCTAAGTTGGGCAATACCTTCATTGCACATTTACAGCAATCTCTTTGGACAATTCATTTTTTAACCTGAGTGGAATTATTTTTATGCCTTAAGGATCCTATTCTCAACAATTTCTCTTTCCACCACGGTTGACTTCCGCTGTAGAATTTAGCCCATGGGATCCTACTTACACTTTCTCTGTACCTGTTGAAGTCTACTCTTCCAAATTTCTGCCATGCATGTCATAGCAGGTCATAATGAATGTTGCTTAAACAAGAACCTCACTGATTATATAATGTAATCATCTAGAACAAGACTAAAATAAAAAGTTACCCAAGAGAACAGAGAACCATTTGAAATTCTGAGCAATGAATGTTTGGAATTTTTAACAAAATCAAGAAAACAAACAGAGGTTTTGCTTAAAATAAGGTTTCTGTTTTCCTATCAACTTTTCTTCTCTATAATACTTCTGGAGAAAATGCACCTCTCTCATAGTTTTCATCACTTTTTTTGGGGGAAACTATCTTATGGTTTTTTAGTATAGATGAATTTTATGTTTCAAATTTTGGTCATCTTTGCAGACAGCAAAGTGTCTGGTTGAACTCTGTCAGGTTCAACTGAAATGAAGAAGTTTAGAGTGTGGAAGGTAATGGATTATGTTGGTCTTTGGAGAACTAGCCTAACCAAATGTGAAGAATTATATCACCAGAAAGCTGACTAGTAGGTAATGTACTTCCCTTCCCACCCCTAGCAACTCTTATAACAACCTACTAAAGAAGTTATATTTTCATCAGTGGAGGGAGACGCCACACTGATCATGCATCACTTAAATACAAAAGCACTATCCCTATAACCTCAAAGTATTTCTCTTACTATTCAATTCTCATTAGCCTGCATTTTCTTCAATACTGAATAGTATGGAAAAACAGAAGGAGACAAATTCTCCAAGTGGACAGAGATTTCTCAGTGGTGAAATATATGAGAAAAGAAGTCACAAAAAGATTCAGGACATTCATAAACTTGTGGCTACTGCCAATAAGCCATAACAAGTTTCAAATATTTTACTTGAAAATGAATGCTGGAAATATCAGACATCTGGACACTTCAGCCTGTCAAGTTTAACCATTATTAAAATTCATCACAGAACTAAAAATATTAGTAATCCCCAAATCTTTAATTGCTCAAAAAGAACATGGCTTTCAAATTAGTCAAAGTCCCAAACTACTAAATCCATTTTGATTACAATAAAAAAAAAATCAAGCAGGGACAAAGCCTGCCCCGGCACATTTCCTGTCTTAGAGGGTAATTTTTCATAAAGTTATGAGGCAGTAAAAAGTAAAATTATGGGGCAAAGCATTTTGGTGGAAGTTCAGAGTTAGTTATATCATTCCAGGAATAATTCTCTGGGGGCAGTTTTTCAACCAGAGTCCCTTATGCCTGACTTTTACCTTCTTTATCTTTCCTAGACAAGGCTAGAACCTAAAATAGATATTGAACTAAAATATCAGGATTTGGGAACTGGGGAATAAGGGTTTGAAGGATTAAAGAAAGGAGGTTTGGGGATTAGCGAATGTGGGTTTGGGTTTTCTAGAGTGAACGCTTGGGATTTAGAGAAAGAGGGGTTAGGCAATGGGCTTTGGGGATTAGGGAATGGGGAATTGTGGATTGTGAAAAGAGGTTTTGGGATTAATATGGAATGAAGGATTAGAGATCGGGGGACTAGGGAATAGGGAAACAAAAGATTGGTGAGTGAATGACTGGAAATTAGACACTGAAGGATTAAGGGGTTAGGATTAGGAAAGGAGGGGTTGATGATTCTAGAATAAAGAATTCGGAGGTTGTGGATAAGGGAATGGAGTACTGGGAAATAGCAGGGTGGGAGTATGGCATGTTTGGTCAAAGGACTACAGGCAGGGTAGTGTTGGGTCAGGAGGAGTGGTCACGGGATCTTGGGCTGCTTTCTGGGAGCCTCGGGCAGCGGGCAGTGAGTGTATTTTGAAGCTGGGGAACGGGTGTGAGAAGGAAGAGGAGGGAAAGAAGGTGGAGATGGAGCAGCGGCCTGGAGCAGGGGCCAGGATCAGTCGGCAGATAGATGCCGGGGCCCCGCGGCTCTGCAGTTACCAGATCTCATCCTGTGCAACGAAATTGAGTTTATCGGCGGCCGTGTTGGTGAGGGGTTTCTGGGCCATGACTTGTTCTGGTCCAAGTCGGAGTACAAATGGCAGGAGTGGCCTGGGATCCTGCCTCGGTCATTGTGTCCCTACGGTTGTCCTTGGCAACTGGGTGTTGCCGGGAGATGGCGGGTTCGGGAGGCTGAAGCCACCTGTTCAGTTCGCTGTTCAGGCTTCCCTCTGAAGCTGCTGGGAACCCCGCCCTTTCCCTCTTCCCTTTCGCTTAAGGTACCTTGAGCTCGAAATACACTATTCTGAGTTCCCTTCCACCTTTTCTCCTTGTCTTTTTGCCTTTGTTCCTCAAGAAAGCGCTGCTTTCCCTTCTTCAGAGGCAGTGCCTCAGAGGCAGATGCAGTGGAAAGAGCCCTGGTTTTGCAATCAAGGGAGGTTGGGTTCCATTCCCTGAATTCCATCCAGCTCCTGTTGTGCCACTTCGCAGAATAGAATGTCAGAACCTCAAGGAACCTTAGACATCAAAGACTGGGGCATTTGTAGTCAAGAGACTTATATTCAAATTCAAACCCCTCTGCTTACTGCCTAGGTTAAGTCATTAAAAACCTCTCTGTTCATCAGATTCCTTATGTATAAAAAGAGTTTGTTGGACTGGATGACCTGTAAGGTGTCTTCCAGCTCTGAATTCAGCATCCTTTGATGATTTAAGGTATGTATTTCCCAAGGTTCTGTCCTTATGCCATTCTAAACTCTTGTTCATAGAGGAGGGAACTGAGGCCTAGAGTGGTCAAATGATTGGTTTGTCCAGCATCACATGAAGTAACTTAGCAAGGACTGGAACTCCTGTCCTCTGAATTCTTTGACCCCAAGTCCAGGGACCTCCGTCTCCTTCTACATCTTTGTACTGGTTGACATCCATGCCTGGGATGTACTCCTTCTTCATTTCCATCTTTCAGAATTTCTAGTTTTCTTCAAGGCTCAGCTCAAAGCATCATCATCATCTTCTTCTTCTTCTTTTTTTTTTTTTGGTGAGGTGATCAGGGTTAAGTGACTTGCCCAGGGTCACACAGCTAATAAGTGTCAAGTGTCTGAGGCTGGATTTGATCATCTTCTTCTTTATGTACATATATGTATATATATATATATTCTCCAATTACATATTAAAACAATTTTTAAAAATTTAAAAAAGTTTTGCATTCTAAATTCCCTCCCTCCCTCCTCTCTTCCCTCCCTGAGATGGTAAGCAATTCAATATAATTTATACATGTACAATCATGTAAAGCATTTCTATATTAGTCATTTTGTACAAGACTCGAATGAAAAAAAAGAATGAAAAAAAGTGAAAAATAGCATGCTTCAGTCTGTATTCAGACAGTGTCATTTCTTTCTCTGGAGCTGGATAGTGTGCTTCATCATGAGTCCTTTGGGATTGTCTTGGATCATTGTATTTCTGAGAATAGCTGTCATTCCCAGTTCTTCATCATACAATATTACTGTTACTTTATACAACGTTCTCCTGGTTCTCCTCACTTTACTTTGCATCAGTTCATATAAGTCTTTCCAGGTTTTCTGAAATCATCCTGCTTGTCATTTCTTATAGCACAATATTCTGTGACAATCATATACTAAGGCTTGTTTAGCCATTCCCCAATTGATGGGCATCCTCTTTATTTCCATTTCTCAGCCACCACATGGTGTCAAGCACCATCTTCTAATTAACATCAAACCTTTCCTGATCCTTGAAGATGCTAGTATCTTTCCACTTTCCCCATTCTATTGCTTTTTATAATAATAAAAGCTAACATTCATGTAGCACTTTAAGGTTTGTGAAGAACTTTACAAATGTTATCTCAGTTGTTTCTTATAACAACTCTGTGAAGTAGGTGCTATTATTATTCCCATTTTACAAATAAGGAAACTGAGGCTGAAAATGTAGTTTTCCCCAGAATCACAGAGCATAAATTTTCTCTAAAGTTTTCAGATTAGGTAACTAAAAGTATCTGAGGCAGAATTTGAAACCAGGTCTTCCTGACCACAAACCTAGCACTTTACTATCTCACACTGTATCTATTGTATATTTGTTCACCTGTTTTAGTGGTGTCTGATTCTTCATGACCCCATTTGTGTTTGTTTGTTTTTTTTGGCAAAGATACTGTAATGGTTGCCATTTCCTTTTGTAGACCATCTTACAAATGAGGAAACTGAGGCAAACAGGGTTAAGACCTGCCCAGCATCACAAAGCTAGAAAGTGTCTGAGGCCAGATTTGAACTCTCTCTCTCTCTGTATATATGTGTAAATATGTGCGTGTGTATAAATATATATATAATATATACACATATATATCTATATACCTATCTCTCTCTTTCTCTCTCTCTCTATATATATACATATATACACATTTTGTCTTTGCCTGCATAGCTGTAAACCCCCGAGGGTAAATATTGTTTTTGCTTTTTCCTTTGCTTTTGCTATTGCTTAGCATAGTGCTTGGCACTTTGTAGATGTTTAATAAATTGGTTGTTGATTAATTGATCACTGTATTATATTGAACTATTAAGGAGAGAACCTTGGGCATATTGTTTAACCAACCTCAACTTCAGTTTCTTCATGAAGATACCATCACACTTGCCTCACAGGGATTTTGCTATGATTTAATATGAATACGACAATGCTCTATAAACACTAACCCTCAATAACCACGTATAAAGTGTTATTAACAAACTAAACAATAGTAAAATTTACCCTCCAAATGGTCTCACTCCCTAGTGTTTTTATCTAATCCCTTTCCCGCTTCTGCTTTTCTTTGGTATTTTTCATCTACCCCAGCCTTGCTTCAGACTAGATAATCAAAATTATCCCCAACTCTAAAGCTCTCCTGCCTTCCAGTGATGTCACCCAGCACCACTACACTCCAAAAAACCCTTTACTTTTTTCTACCAACTAACTCCTAGTTGTTCAAAACCCTAGGCTTCATATCTCTCCCTCCCCAACAAAGGAAATTATACTTACTGTAAGGATATTGCTTTCCTCCTGACTTTGCTCATGTAATAAGCAATTCAATGTTTACTAGACACTTGGGGGGATACAGCGATGCACATGACAAAAGATGTGGGCCATAAAGGAGCTGACAGTCTATTTTAGGAAGCAGGACCTACATGCATGCAAAGAAAACTAACTAGACAAAGCTACATATGTTTAATCCCTTATCTGAAAAATAAAGGGGTCAGACTAAATGATCCCCTGAGTCCTTTCCAGCTTTGCCATTTTATAAATCTTACATATGTGATACAGACAGTAAAGGAAAAAGGGAGGAAGGAAGAGAGGGAAAGAAGGAAAGGAGAGAGAGAGACAGCGACAGAGACAGAGAGAGACAGAGAGAGAGGAGGTGGGGAGGGGGGAGACAAACACACAGACAGAGACAGAGACAGACACACACAGAGACGGGGGTGGGTTGGGGAGAGACAGAGAGACAGAGACAGAGCCAGGCAGAGACTGTCAGAAACAGAGAAAAAGACAGAGGTAGACTGAGACAGAGATAGACAGACAGGAGAGCTATTGGTGGCTGATGTGATCAGTGAAGGCTTCTTAGAGAAGATAGGGCTTGAGCTGGCATGCTGAAGAAGGTTAGGGCCCAGATAGGCAGATGGAGCTGGAAAGAGCAATGGATTTGGAGTCAGAAGAACTGGGTTCAAATCCCAGCTTTGCCAAGGTCACCTTGTGACCTTGGGCAAGCCACATAGTCATTATGGGTTTCAGTTTCCTCATCCATAAGACGAGATTGGACCAGGTGGCATTTAAGATCTCTTCTAATTCCAAAATTCTATAATGCCTGGAAGGTAAAAGATATTGATCTGTAAAATAGGTGTATCTGAGAGGAAGAGAAAATTTGGTGAACTTTAATGACACAGAGGCAAACTATCTCTTGCATATATTTTTCCATGTTTGTCAAGCTCTAGAAATCTAAGGCAGTGAGTGAACTCGTTTTGTGTGATGGGGCTCTTTGCTGACTAACAGAATCTAAGGCAGCTAATTAGCTAAGCATCTCTTCAGCTGCAGAGGAAGGCTGTTTTTCCCAGGTCTGATAGCACTTATTTGTTCTGTCACAATCCCAGGGGATTGTTTGCCTTTCTCCCTTTCCCTGACCTCCATTTATCAACAGATTTGTATTTTAACGGGGCGTTAGAAGGTTTCACAGCTGGTGTTTTTTCCTATTGTAACCAATTTCCCCAGACCCTAGCCGGGTGGTGTCTTCTTGGCTGCTAGAAACGCATGGCAAAGACTCAAAATCAGGGTGGGTCACACATGCCCACTCAACCAAAATAGTTAAAAGAGGGAACAGGAATTGATTCTGGATTAATTAACATTTAATCACAATATGCCAGTGACTGAGCTTGGGATTTATAGCAAACAGGAAGGCTATAAGATTTCTTTAGGAAACTCTATGAGTCCAAGTTTTCTCTCTAAATAGGGAGATAAAACAATTATTCCAGGCTGCAATGGATTAGGAGTCAGAAGACCAAGGTTCAAATTCTAGCTTTGTTGTTTCCCACCTTGGACAAATCACTGAATCTCTCTGGAGTGTTACTTTCCTCATTTAGATATGCATGGGGTAGTTGATCAGAGTAGTCCCTTCTCAAAATAAGGAATTGTTTTAAAAATTATTATTTTATTTTTCTCAATTACCTGTAAAATTTTAACATTCTTTTTTCAAAATTTGAATTCTAAATTTCCTTCCTCCCTACCCTCACATTGAGAAGGCAAGTAATTCGATATAGATTATACGTGTGCAATCATGCAAAACATATTTCCATATTAGCCAGGCTTCAAGATAAACATACACTCCCCGCCCCCCCAAAAAATCAAGAAAAATGAAGAAAGTAAAGAAGTATGTTTTGAGTTGTATTCAGACTCCACCAGTTCTTTCTTTGGAGGTGGATAGCATCTTTCATTATAAATCCTTTGGAATTATCATGGATCATTGTATTGCTAAGAATAACTAAGTTATTCACAGTTGATCGTTATATGATATTTCTGTTACTATGTATAATGTTCTCCTGGTTCTGCTAGCTTCATTTTGTATCAGTTCAAATAAGTCTTCCCAGGTTTTTCTGAAAGCATCCTGTGC